CCCCAAAACCCCAAAACCCCAAAACCCCAAAACCCCAAAACCCCAAAACCCCACAGCAATCATTAAGATTGAGTTATCCATCTCATAAATTATTCCTCAAAGCTCTTATCCTTGCTTTGTGGAGGTTGAGCCTTCATTACTGAGGTCTTCTTGGCACTATGCTGGTGGGTATTCCTGTGCTTGTTATAGTTCCCCTTCTGAGCAAACTCTTTGCCACACAGCTCACATTTGTAAGGCTTCTCTCCTGTGTGTATCCTAGCGTGATCAATAAAGTTCCAAGTCTTGTTAAATTTACGCCTTCATTCATCATACTTGCAGATATAGTATCTGAGAGTTCTCCCAGTCTTCTCATTATTTGGAATAAGAGATCTCAAAATCGTACTTGTTTAGCTCTCCTACGTTGGCTTTCTTTACACTGTAAGATTTCGGAGGGAGAGTGTCCGACTGATCATCTTTAGAGTCAGTCATAGGGTTCTTTGGGTAAACCTTAAATTCCTCCTCCTTAGAGCTACTCCTGAACTTCTCTTCTTCTATTAAAATAGTTAAACTAGTACTGTACCTTTTTGGTCTTCAGCACATGCAAATGAGTCTTGGTCAAACCCTTTGAGAGAGTCATGATCTTCTATGCCTTCTATTTATTAGGTCTAGTCATACCGTCAAATTCACTTTGGAATTTGCTTTGAACTAGCAGCTTTTCTTCATCTTTTTGCTCTTCTTGTTTCTCGGTTTGCTTCTCCCTAAAAATTGAATTGGAAACTTACTGGGACTTCTCCTTCTTTCAAGAGATATCATTCAAAGTTATCAAGCTCTTTGGCTTGACTTGTGGCTGAGGAGGTTTACATTCTCAAAACCTCTGCAATAAGGTCGCAAGAGAAGAAACTCCAGAACTTAGGGGATTAGTTTTGATATTTTTATTTGCAGAGTTAATAGTTTCTGCTTGGTCTCCGTTAATATTGGCTGCCTATGAAGATGAGCAATCAACAATACAGGTTTTAGTGAGTTTTTCTGAACATTAGCTAAAATATTAGCAATCCTTGCTTTATTAATCTCCCTCATCCTCATATCCTCTTGTATGATCACGGTGTAACTATAAAGAAAGATACGGTGATGATCTAAAGTCGAATCTCATTTATGTTCAAATTTAAAGAGACTTGCTGACACATAAGAGTCAAATTTTCATTCAGTATCATACCAGTAATGAGGTGACTTACAGTATGTTACAAAATCCTTTTCTTGGACTTCCGTTCATTGATTATTATATATTTATTTCAATCATATTGTTTTTACTTGGGGTTTTGGGGTTTTGGGGTTTTGGGGTTTTGGGG